TACTTTAAATGCCAGGACGCTTTCAATTAATGTCTAGTCTACCCATTTGCTATATTTTCTCGTTTGTTTTACTAATTTTTGACCAATTAATAGGCATGTTTTTGTTTTAGAAATTGATATTCAAATTCCCCGCCCTATTTTCATAATTTGGTGCATGCGCAGACGTTTTTCCGCGGTGTTGATGAGAAGCTGTTCCCATCTATGGCTGTTCCGAACGTTTCCGAAGGCTCAGCTCAAAATGGCGGTAAAAAGGAGTGACTTCATTGTGCGTCTTTACAGCCAGATTTCGAGGGCAAAAATAAACATGTCGTTCTAAAAACTAGGAATAAATACAGCCAGAAGGTTCAAGAAGTTGTATTGTACAAGAACATGAACTAAAGGTGATTGTTGACAAATTTATCGTCTGAAACATTTTGTTTATCAACTAAGCAACGACAATTTCCGAATTTTCGATTGAGATACATTTCTTTAAAAAAAACTGTGTCGCCAAATATAAAAAATTTGCGTGTTCACAATAATTAAACTTTAGGATTTATTCTACAATTTGAGTGGGTTAAGAAGCTTAACTTTTCGAGAGTTTTCTTAACTTTTTAGTTTGAATTTTTGTTTTGAATTTTTGTTTTGAATAATTTTGCAAAAATTTTCGAAGTCGTGTCCGTTAAAATCAACATTTTTTTACATGAATTATATTTCATTCCATACTTTAAATGCCAGGACGCTTTCAATTAATGTATAGTCTACCCATTTGCTATATTTTCTCGTTTGTTTTACTAATTTTTGACCAATTAATAAGCATGTTTTTGTTTTAGAAATTGATATTCAAATTCCTCGCCATATTTTCATAATTTGGTGCATGCGCAGACGTTTTTCCGCGGTGTACATTATCATATATGATTATTATTTATAATATAACATTTGTAAATTCTGAACGCTGATTGGCTAAGAGCCGTGTTGATATAACTCTATGTCAACACGGGAAATTTTCCGCCGCTTGTAAACACGGAACTTTTTCTTACTCTTCGGGCTTTTGACATTGCTATATTATAAAACAAATATAAAACATTTTTTCCGTGTTGATATATAGTTATATCAACACTCGTGGAAGTTGGGAAAACTCGAAATTGTATGAAAACACTCCGCCCTTCGGGCGTCGTGTTTCCACACAATTTCTCGTTTTCCCAATTTCCACTCGTGTTGATATAACTATATATCAACACGGAAAATGTTTTATATTTGTTAAATATTAGTAATTTAGAACTGAAATTTCCGATATAATTTACCGTAGTGTATTTGGCATTATTATACAATTTTGATTAGGTTCGGCACATGAAAAATTCGCCGTCTAAACCGGGCCTTACTATACCGTTCACTATACTATTCTTACCGCGTTATGACGTTCTGTGTGTACCCATGGATCATAAAAAACACTTTTGAACTATCCATGGTGTATCTACTATCTACTGCATGTATATATAATTGCACAGATAACGCCATAACGGTGTATTTGTTAAATATAAGAAAGTTTAAAAACTTAACTCTTAAGCACGAGCGAAGAGGAAAGAGTTACACTCAATATCACGTGATCTATGACCAATGCAAAACAATGCATATACCATTGGTTCGTGCATGGTGGTTCTGAGTGCGCTGTGACTGGCTTAAAGATATTACGCCACAATGATTTCGTCATTCCTCTACTATAGATCATAGCTTTCGGCCAAAGAATAGAAGGCAGAACTATTTGAGCTTATATACTACATTATATGTTCTATAACATGTATTTCACTATTCTTATCATGTGATTGCCAATTAGATATTGCTTATCAATATGTATATATAGGTTAGTTTGAGGCAACGATCCCCATATGTGAATCATATCCCCATATGTGAATCACATATCCCCGAGGTGCCTCCAAATAACGTACTTATTTTTCACATTGCGAGGTCGCGTTAATGAGTCAGAATAAAAATAATTCTTAATGCCATATTGCCTTCGTTATGTTGTTTTTTATTTCTGTATTTATTTATTTATTTACCAATATTTATACACGGTAGCATCTCAACCAAAGTTCAAAAATAATTATAATTACATAATATGTTAAGAAAATACAAGCAAAACTAAAAAGGTTGATTTTCAGATGGCCGTGTGTTAAAATTAATTTAAGATATCATGAATATAAAATATATACAGGTAATTATGAATGTAAAAAATGTAAAAAATATTAAAACATGCGGTTAAAATTTACTTTTGTCATCGATATTGTTCCAAGCTGCAGCCCCCTTATAACTAAAACTACGCTTTAAAGCGTTAGTGTTAGGTTTGGGCAAGTGGAGAACATGATTGTTACTTCTTAATTCATACGTAGTTTTACTGTGTTATTACGTAAATGGCATAAACGGTGTCCGATATAGGGTATAACAATGCAGACAGATAAGGAAGATCTAAGTTATGTAACTGTTTGCAAACGTTCTGTATATGTTCTATTTGGCAGGAGAAATAAACCTTTATCCGATTTTAATACAAACATTGATTAAACATTCATTTCTTTTGTATTTTCCTCATGAATTATTAATGAGTTTTTTTCACGGTTCACTTTTTATACGGTTCACTTCCGTATAGTTAATAGAGCTTTTGCACCCCAAATCATGAAGTTTAAAGTCAATTTATTTTAACCTTAAGCCTTTATTAGCAAAATAATTTTGCAGCAATTGATAAAATAATCTTCGACAAATTTAAAGTCTGAACTCCCTACCCCGCTTTCGTAGTTATTTTAGTACAAAAATTTCCTCGTCTGTAACTGAAACGAAACGGGAAGCCATTTTGTTTTTTTTCGGAGGTGCATAATATTGCAAGGATATCCGGAGCAACCAATCAAATTGCATGAAAAGCACTATTCACCTCCAGAGTATGTGCTAAATTACTTTATTCAATTTATTTTTGTCTTTGATTTAGTTTTGGAAAAGATCACAGTATGTTCAACAAACTTTTATTCCCTTTGGGAGTTGTGTTGGCTATCTCAGCTTTGGGTAAGAAAATTTACAAATATTCAGTGATTGAATCACGATGCTTGATAATGTTCCTTGCCAGCAGTGGGAAGCTATATCTTTCAAGTTACATAGGATAATGTAATTGCTTGATAATGTAGCTATTTTAAACACGTCGCAATCCGATTTGCAGAGATTGTGACAGACATTAAAATCTCATATCCGATTATAAATATTTTGAATTAAAAATTGGCTGATTGAATTCAAAAGGTACTCTATCCAGTTTTAGTTTCCAGGTCAGTGACCCTACCGGATCTCTAGTAAAACTGACGGAGACAAGATATGACACCAGTTGAATTGCTGGGATAGCTGGACTGTAAAGGTTTGGCTTGGGAGGAAATTAATTTCCTGCGCAAAAATTCTTGCAATTATGGAAATCTGCACAACATTTTTCAAATTGTAAATAACCGCAAATAATTTCTGAAAAATCTACACAAAATGCTTTTGTGAACCAAGCAGATTTCTGATCTTCGTCTTTGACAAAAGTATTTTCTGACTGCATTGTACTTAGGGAGGCCTAGGGGTGGTAGAGAAGTGCGCTTGGAAAATTAGAACTTGTGTGTTATAGTTTCGGGCGATAAAATTTAAATTTGCAACAAGAAATCCTGAAATATTTCAGATTTCAGTGGACATCAAGGTGCAGGATTGCGCGGTCTGCCATACATTTTCTGTGAAAATATCTGACATTTCTGCGCAACTTTCCCAAGGAAAAAACATTCAAAATAAAACTTTTCAGTCTGGCTCATACTGGGGGTATTACAAGACAATTTGCAACTAATGATCTACTGCATGTCTTTTTTGTTTTGTTTTAGGAAGTGCTCTGAAATGCAATGTTTGTACCTACTGGACAACACAGCCAAAAGAACAACAAAAATGTACTACCACAGTCAACTGTCCAACTGGTACTTCATATTGTTACACAGGATCTGGTGCCTACCAAAATGGCACAGAAATTGTTGATAGAGACTGTGACACTGCGGCTGATTGCCCCGATGCTGAAGGATGGTGTAACCGTGTAACAACAAAATTGAATCTGAAATCGTGTGCTATTGCATGTTGTAATACCGATAATTGCAACAATTATACCCCAAGCAGTGCAACTGATGTCATGGTGACCAAGTTTACTCTTTCCTTGATGGTGATTGTTGGCTTTATTTTTGCTTGACTTGATGTACTTTGCGTTCTGATTGTGTAGTTTTACTTAAATTTACTTAATTCAATTGTTGTAATTTGCCTGAACGTGGTAAAATTGTGTCTTTAAAAAAAGGTGTTTAAAATATGTAGCGTTATTAGTTTGGGTTAATTTAGGTGACTATGTAATAAATTGATAAAAGATAAAATCAATTCGTTCCTTAACGGGCATGTGTAATCAAATGCACTAAATAAACTAGTTTTGAACTAAAGAGGAGCAGTTTAATTTGTGTGTATGTACCTATGGTCAAGTACAAGGGTCCTCTCATATTGGCCTAGGGCCGGTTGTTCAAAAGCCGGTTAACGCTAACCTTGGGTTAAATTTGCTTAACCTAGGGTTAAATTTTAACCCTAGGTTACTTTGCGTTGTTCAAAGCTAGGTTATCCTTAATTCTCGGTTAAAACAAGGGTTAAATTTAACCCTCCTCGCTAGGTGGGTTAACTTGCTAATCGGCCGGTTAACTCGTATTCAAAATGGACGTCGGAGGAGTGAAAAAAGAAAACATGTAAAACTCTTGGTGAAACAAACAGTGTACAAAGATTTTATGGAGGAAAATCAACCTCAAAAAGTAAATTAATTTAAGATTCTTAGTCATCCCCGGTATGAGCCTTTGAAATGATTTTATACCTACAAGTTGGCTTTGAATTTATATTCGAGCATTAAAGTGAAAGTTACGGCAACTTTCTGTCCATTTGGGGGTGCTATGGTCTAAGCATGGACATCATAATTTACTGTTTTATTGTGTTTTAATACTGTGGAAAAGTACCTTAATTTACAAAACGCCAAAAGGAACACCGGCAGACGTAGCTAGTTTGGTACACAAATGCCGTAATCAAGATTGTGTACACTGTACAGTAAAAGGATTTACCTCGCGAGATCTTTGTACTTCTTTGTCGATTGCCACCACCAAAACTGTAGACTGTAGTTTTATTAAAGCCGAGCATTCAACTCAAGTTTCTTCGAAAAATAACTCTAGAAAAATACTTGTATTGCCAAACAATTCGCCGTACCACCACCTGTTTCACAAAGTTTCCATTTGCCATTTGTTGAACAGTCACAAGTTCTTGCACATCTACTGTTTGGAGCGCAGTGTATTACCTGGTAAAAACACTGTGTTTGAAAGTTGTAAAACAACTTCGCTGCTTCTTTTTCTGTTTTTGTGTTCTGTTTTATAGGATAAACACGCATGCGTTGAAAAATGCTTTTCAACTCCAAAATAATTCGAAGTTCATTTGATTGGCTGGGATTTTGCTCTCAAATTTAATTATTCAAGCGCTGCCTAAAATTCCAAAATTGATTTATTTTATAAATGGATTTGCCGCTTTGATCATTCAAGTATATTTTTTCTTGAGACTTTCAAAATGCTTAAATCCATGTCTGGAATGTTCAATTTCAAGTTGCCTGTTACTTGTTAAACAATATTTCTCACATCTAGCCCATTCTATCCCTAGTTTTAAGGCTGATACTTACCATTTGTGTGCCACAAAAATCCAAAATTACAAAATTGTAAAAAGTTATGGAAAACTAACACCAATGAAGACAAATGACTTATTGCATGAAATTCCACCATATTGTAATAGATAGTAACTGATATAAATATTGGCCTTTTTGGTAAACAATGATATATTGTTCTGAAAATTTCATGTGTCCTCAAACGTTTCCGTCTTTTACACCCTCGAAAACATCGTTGCAGCAACATCTGAAAATGTTTTTCTCAAATATTTTCCTGTTTGCCAACATCGAAAACAAACAAAAAATTCTTCTGTGACAAAACTGTTTGCGAACAAAAGGTTTCATCATTAAAAATTAGTTTTAATAAATATTCTATACAATATTATATACACACATATGTGCCATTTATAAAAATAGAGCCCCGCAAATGACATAGCGCAATAGCCAATTGCTTTGGAAACAGTTTTGTCTTCTTTTCGTTCACCACTACTTTCTCTAAGCACTATCGAGTAGCAGATGGCGGTAAGCCTGCTGGTATCAAAGTGAGAAACATGGCCAGAAATCACGAACATAATTTATTCTACTTCCTTCGTAATTTGCATATACCGCGTTAAAATATGACTTCAACTGTAAACAGGGAATTATATAACGCGACGTTGTTAAAGGCAACATCTGAGAATAAAGTTGGTCGTTTGCAACTTGCCTCGTTCGCTGGCTGCAAAACAAAGTTTATGTCGAAGTACTTCATGTAATGTTGGCCTGATTTCAGTTCTGCATTTTCAATATTTGTACAGGTTAGTTTTTTACGACATTTGTCTATTTAACTCTATATATAACTTATAAGCAGCCTAGACCCAGGCCTTTACTCGGTTGAATTTGGCAGCTTTGCCTTTGGTCAATTTCGGGGCTATAGCTTTGGTAAGTATCGCCATTCGATATTCGTACATTTCTGATATGTACGATATTCGTACATTTCTGATTGAAATCCGCCATCTTTAATTTTGAGTAAAAACTCTGTAAACGTATCTATTTTTGTAATCCTTGACTTGAAATCACAAATTTTATTCACATATATATACAAAACTGAACAAGTAAGTTCAAAAACATAACTTTTGTTAGGACTTTATGGTGGCAAAGAACAGGATATACCATTTTTATATCGGTAAAAAATCCATAAGGTCCGTTTACACCTCCGGCAAGATTTTTTGCACTCTGCAATGTAAACGCCCCGTTATTATACTATCTCATTATATGTAAATGAAGTCAAGTGACTCAAGTAGAGAATGAAATACCTCAACAAAGAATCAATCCATTTGCTTCATAGAATATAAAAGCACTAAACGTGGAAAAATATCTTGAAACGAAGTTACTCTCAGTGTACGAGTGCATTCGTTTAAGATAATAATTAAATAAACAGTCTCGTTTTGATTGGAACGGTTTCAAAACTTCAACGAAATCATTCCTGAACGTTCAAACTACGCCTTTCTGTTTTCCGTTTGGAACATTTCATGCATGAAAATTTTGCACTAAGTCAATCTGATCCAACATCTGCTTGGCGTGTACTGTTGAAGATATGGCGAAATAATACAGTTCGACAAGACGTATTCATGCAAAATCGCACGAGTGTGGACTTGCTTGGATGAAACAATTTTGTTAAGATATGGAATGCATTAATTGGTTATAAAGGTAGGGGCGTAATCAACGCGAGCTTATGACTCGCGCTTGGAGTGGTGCATGCATGCGTATTAACCAATAAGAATTTGATTGATAGATTGTCTTCCTGCCTTCAGTAATTTAAATATAGCTGAAATATTCTGATCTGTCAGTTTAACCACGTCCATGCACGGTCAAGGTTGCAAATTGCTTTTTCTGGTGAAATTCAAAGGTAAGTTCTCTCAAATTCTACTCAATTCAAAGGTAATATTCTATTCAAAGACATACAAGGCAAGTTCTTCTTAGCCTTATAGGCTAGATTAAGTAGTTTCAATTGTTAATAGTTAAAGTCTACTTTTAATATATAAAACTATATCGAATAATTTATAAAAACTGGGCGTAAACCATCTGTGAATGTGATTGCCACTGGTATATTGCTGATATACATTCGACCGCAAGACATATAAGAATCCATATGCATACTTTCCCCAACAAAGTATTAGTTTTGAGAATTGACGTTTCAATATTGAACCGCGTCGTTTCAAGTGTATTCTATAATACTGCATGACGAAGGGCCTTCGCTCGAAACGTCGAGGTTCTTCTTGTGTTTTACAGGTAGTTGCATCCCTATCAACCAATGTTTTTTCATTCTTTCTTTCTACTGTCATGTATTGTATAAATCTGTTTTGTTTTATCTTCTCGTCCCGAATCTCGCAAGCCAGTAAAAATACGCTATGGTTAAAATTTTTCCGTTATCTGTTTGGTGGTTTGCTCCGACTCGTGACAACATTTTTGTTCTTAGGCCCGGTTAAGACGGCCAACTTTTGATGCGCCGAACCTAATACAACGATTAACTGCAGCAGAAGAGCAGCGTCTAAATCGATGAAGTTCCGCAAATTTTGATCAGGTTCGACACGGCACAAGATACGACAAGCATTTCGTATTATGTGTCACAGGTTCACGATGAATTTAGACGCTTTTCATGCACCGAACCTAATGCATAAACTTTTTAACGTACATAATCACATGACTATGATTTATTAGGAATTTAGTACTGAAATGTATGATATACTGTAATTTACTTGTATTTGGCACTATTACAATTTTGATATGTTATTTATTTAGGACATATATAATGCGCACTGCAAGCTAAAATAATTCTGCCTTCTATTCTTTGGCCGAAAGCTATGATCTACAGTCATGAGGAATGACGAAAATCATTGTGACGACTATATATTTTTAAGCCAATCACAGCGCACTCAGAACAACCACGAACCAATGGCATGCATTGTTTTGCATTGGTCATAGATCACGTGATATTAGGTGTAACTCTTTCCTCTTTCCGTCGCGCTTAAGAGTTAAGAGTTAAGGTTTAAACTTTCCTATATCTAACAAATACATAACCGTTATCTGCGCAGTTATATACTGTAGATGCACCACGGACGTACACAGAGAACGTCATAACGTGGTAAGAATAGCAATAAGGCCCTGTTTAGACGACGAACGTCTCATGCGCCAAACCTATGCGCTATGTATAGTTTCACTATTCTTATTTGTGATTCGGCCAATTAGATATTGCTTATCAACTGATTGCTTATCAATCCGCAGCTTTCGACCAATATTTAACAAAGCGAAGAATATTCTTTCACTATTTAATTCACCGACACTGACGTGAATAATTGTTTTAGCATATGCCAAAACAAAACAAAAATGACCAAAAAACAACGAACATATTTTTAAAACAATTTGTATTTCAGCCCTCGTAATAGTTGTGAACAAAACAGTATTTAAACGCCCAATTTTAGTACTTTTATTGATTAGAAATAATTTTAAGAATATCTCTACGCACTGTTAAACAAAACTTTGTGGCTTTCTTCGTGTTTAGCGAAACCGCAAAAGCATAGGGAAAACGCCGTTCGAAAGGCTTTCGCTTTTTAAAAAATGAGATACGCATGGAAATTTTGTTCAATAAATTATTGTAGAATATTTTATTGATTTCCTTTTATTAAAAGTGTTAACATAACATTTTATTTAACAAATGTTTGTTTTTTTCCCTAGATCTACTCCTTATTAAAATCGTGAAATGAACTGGCTATAGGAATTTCAGATGCTCATGTATAAATAACAAAGCAGCGAATAATATAAATTCCTCAAAATATAACTCCCGTATAAAAAAAACATGAATACTTCTATAATGTGTATAGTTTTATTCCTCTCCATTATCAAAATTTAATAAAATAGTGAATTAATATAATTTTAAATAGTTAATATATCGGCGTGACATAATTTGCCTTGAGTTTCCCCTCTGTATATATCTCTTTTCTGTGGCTGGGTCCAGAGGACTGGGTCGAGTGAAACCATTTTGGTTTTGTGGGTTTTTTCCGGAAGTGAATAGTGCAAGGATATCCGGAGCAACCAATCAAATTGCGTGAAACGCATTATTCACGTCCCGAGTATATGCTAAATTACTTTATTCAATTTGTTTTTGTCTTTGATTTAGTTTTGGAAAAGATCACAGTATGTTCAGCAAAATTTTACTAGCTTTAGGAGTTGTGTTGGCTATCTCAGCTTTAGGTAAGAAAATTTACAAATTTTCAGTGATTGAATCACAATGCCTGATTATGTTCCTTGCCAGCAGTTATCTGAAAATTTGTGGGAAGCTATATCTTTCAAGTCACATAGGATAATGTAATTACTTGATATTGCTAGCTATTTTAAACACGTCGCAATCCGATTTCCTCAGATTTTAACAGACATTAAAATCTCATCTCATCATAAATATTTTGACTTTAAAATTGGCTGATTGAATACAAAAGGTGGGATGACCCTTACCGGGTCTCTAGATATAAAACAGTTTAAACTGACAGAGACAAGACATGACACCAGTTGCACTTCCGGGCCAGACTGTAAAGTTTTGGCTTTGGAGGAAATTAAATTCCATGCGCAAAAATGTTTGCAAATCTGCAAATAATTTCTGAAGAATCGGCACAAAATATGCTTTTGTGAACCAAGAACCAAGCAGATTTCTGATGTTTCTCTTTGACAAAAGCACTTTCTGAAATAAATGTTCTGTGAAAATATTTGAACTTTCCCAAGGAATAAACAGTTCCTGCGCAAAATAAAACTTTTCAGTCTGGCTGCTGGGGGTATGACAAGACAATTTGCAACTAATGATCTACGCATGCATATCTTTTTTTGTTTTAGGGAGTGCTCTGGAATGCAATGTTTGTAACTACTGGACATCGCAGCCAAAAGAACAACAAAAATGTACTAACCGCAAACTCACCTGTCCAATCGGATACGGTCATTGTTTCACATTCTCTGGTACCTATCAAAATGGCACAGACGTCGTTGAAAAAAGCTGTTCCATCAATATTCTTTGCTCCAATACTGAAAAAACGTGTGACCTTATAACCGCAAGGTTGGGTCTGAAATCGTGTGATTTTGAATGTTGTAATACTGATAACTGCAACAGTGCAACTGGTGTCATGGTGACCAAGTTTACTGTTTCCTTGATGGCGATTGTTGGTTTTATTTTTGCTTGACTTTTTTTCTTTTGGGTTTAGTAGCATGACTATGTAATAAATTGATAAAAGATAAAATCAATTTGTTCCTTAAGGGGCATGCATGTGTAATCAAATGTACTGAATACTTGAATAAACTATAGTTTTGAACTAAAGTGGACCAGTGGGTTGTTCTATATCAGTTTTACGTTTTCCAACCTGTCAGCAGTAGTCCAGTATAAGGGAACTCTCATACTAGCTTAGTGTTTAAACTAACTTTTATGTATACTGGATAGTCGTAATTAAGCAGCTTTAAACTGTTCTCCAGTAGAGAACTGTGTTAGTACAGCTAGGAGGAAGCAAAAAACTCAACTATAAGTTAATTTATATACTAGCTGGATAGCTTTTTAAACTGTTCTCTCTATGGACGTCTAGTAAACCTCACCTCTTATTTATCCCGTCTTTGCAAGGTTAAGGCTAATACCATTTATATATATGGCACACAAATACGAAATTACAAACAATGAAAAAAATAAAAATGGAAAAACCACACCAATAAAGACAAATAAAAATGATTGCATGAAATTCCGCCATATTGTTAAAGATGGTTTGTTTAAAATTATTTTCCTATCACGCTCAAAATAGTACGATATAAAAATTTCGGCTTTTCGTTAAACAATGATATATGGATCTGAAAATCTTCATGTGTCCTCAAAACTTTCCGTCTTTCCACCCTCGAAAACATCTCGAATATTTTCCTGTTTGCCAACATCGAAAACAAGAAAAAATTCTTCTGCGACAAAACTGTTTGCGAACAAAAGGTTTCATCATTAACAATTAGTTTTAATAAATATTCTATACAATATTATATACACACATGTGTGCTATTTATAAAAATAGAGCCCCGCAAATGACATAGCACAATAGTCAATGCATGGACCTAATTTCCCCTTATAACTAAAATTTTGATCTAGACAGGTCTAGACAAAAATTTCATCACGGCTTGAAAGAGCATCACAAAATTAGTAATATTCCGAAGTTTCGTTGCGAAATGTTGTAAAATGCGGATAATATAGCCCTGCGAAATTTGCAATTTTCAGTCATTTTGTATTACAAACGGGAAATTGATGCCCAACACCCGATTGGGCTGTCAATTTCCCATACGTAATACAAAATGACTGAAAAACGGCAAATTTCGCAAGGCTATATTACCTGCATTTTACAACATTTCGCAACGAAACTTTGCAATACTACTTATTTTGTGATGCTCTTTCAAGCTGTGATGAAATTTTTTTCTAGATCAAAATTTTAGTTATAAGGGGAAAGGTCCATTGCTTGGGAAACAGTTTTGTCATCTTTTCGTTTCACTAAACACTATCGGGCAGCAGATGGCGGTAAGAAACATGGCCAGAAATTATACGAACATAATTTATTCTACTATATATATACTTTTTAGCTTCGTGATTTGCATATACCACGTTGAAATATGGCTTCCACTGTAAACAGTGTATTATATAACGCGACGTTGTTGAACGTAAAATCTGAAAATAAACGGTAGGTCGTTTGCAGCTATCCGCGTTCGCCGGCTGCAAAACAAAGTCTGTCGAAGTCATGTAATGTATACGTTGGCCCGATTTCAGTTCTGCATTTTGAATATTTGTAAAGAGGTTAAAGTTCTTACGACATATGTTTATCAGTTAACTCTGTATATAAGTATACCGCACTACCGCCACTTATATAGGAACAAGTATACCAAACTACTGCCACTAGGAACAAACGAAAATGCAGAATAGGCAGTAACTTTCAGTAGACCAGGCACATTATACTAAATATTTCTACACACTATGTTTTGCAACCAGCAATTGAGCAAACGACCTATCGTGATTCTCTTATTTGACGCATCGATGATATGGAATAATCATTTCCGCAGCCATAGCCATGCGAAGTTTGCCGTTTTTCAGTCATTTTGTATTACGCACGGGAAATTGACAGCCCAATCGGGTGTTGGGGCATCAATTTCAGTCCCGTTTGTAATCAAAATGACTGAAAATTGCAAATTTCGCATGGCTATATTATCCGCGTTTTACAACATTTCGCAACAAAACTCATTCTTGTTAGCCATCGTACCTGTTCGGCTGTTCCTCTTTCGATACGAAACTTCAAGCGCCGAGTTATCATACGGCACATTCAAGTGTATAAATTATGGATGATTCCAATTCATTACGAATATTTCTTACTCTTATTCTTTAAAATATTAAGAGGTAATTTTTTTTCAATGTCACGTATTTGCAATGAAAAGTGTTAAAAACCTAAAATCTTTTTGGCGTTCCTCTCAAAATTACTTTGTTTTAGCTTTATTCTCTACAGTTTATAGAGTTAGCTACCTTTTTAAATGCGTCTGCCGGTTGAGAAACATAAAATAATAGTTAAAAATTGCCAACTAAAATACAATTATCAATGATGCCTTACTGAATTGACGCTATATTTATAGCCATTTAAGCAAAACGTACTGAACGTCAGAGATCATTTTCTCTTTGGCGTATCATCTAAAATCTCTTCATTTTAGCATTATTTTACAGATAAAGCACTAAACATACTTTTTAAGTTTTTTTTTACCGATTGAGAAACGTATCGAAAAATAAAAATTTTGATTTTAGTCATAATCTCATGTGGTATATTATACGCATTAGTTTTGAGCGCGTGTTACGTTACGTAACATACAAAAAATCTCATTTAAAGATTTGAGAACAATGCTATGCCAAGGCAGCATTCACTACCCTGTGGGTAAACTAGTATAAAACAAATATAAAACTTTTTTTCCGTTTCCGTAAACATATTTCGGGCGTCGTGTTTCCACACAATTTCTCGTTTTCGCTTTGCTCGTGGACAACCTTAATTAATTGAAATAGCTGTAACTGTACATCAACACGGAAAATGTTTTATATTTGTTAAATATAATGGGTGATTCCCTAGTTCATGGTAAAATGAACTGTACAGAATGACCTTACGACTTATTAAGTGGCTTGCATCACATGCATGCATGGTCACAGACAAAATAATTAGTGACTTGATTTGCTATATCGGAGTTAATGTGAATTGATTTGGACTTGCAAAATAATGATCTTTAAAAAAAGTTTCTCGGCAGATTTAAAAGTTTTGATTCAAATTTCACGAAGCGCGGAGGAAGTTCAACCAACGACGTCCTGTCTGCTATCTCGGATGTTCCGTTTACGTCTTTAAGGACTATTTAAAACATTCCAATATCGTCTCACAATGTTCAAGGATGTTGGATAAAAAATTTGAATGACGTAAAACCGTTTCAACATCTTACGGCAAACGTTCAAACAGACCCAAGAATGTTGCAGCAATGCAGGATGAAGATTACTTAAGGTAAAGTAATACGAGCAACAAAGTTGCAGCAACTTGCAAAAAAACTTATTTCAACGTATGTTATAATTGAAATGTCCACACACAAGTTGCAACACCCGATACAACATTAGTACAAATTTCCACTATTAACATGCGTTGAGATCAGATTTTATTGCAAGTTGCTGCAACTTTGTTGCTCGTATTACTTTACCTTTAACCACGCTAGCCTCAACAAGCGTTAGAAGGCTGATTTCAATGAGGGGAGTGAAATATAGAATTAACTATTTACAAAAAATAAAGAAATATGAAAAAAATAAAATAAGACAAGATTCCAGGAAAGGGAACAAGAAAATACGATGATTTTTAATGCACGATATATAAGTTTGAATAATAATCAGTCAGATGAAAACGCGTTTGAAATCGCAGTAAAAATTGCTGTTGCCGGCAACGGCCGCAGCTAAATAAACAAATGCACAAAATGCATGGAGTCAAAAATTTAAAAATGATGTGTTTATAGAGTACAAAGAAATCATTTAGAGAAAAAAAAGAGGAAACAGGAAATGCACTCATGCACTCAAGCTCTTTACAAGGTCGTTTTCAAAGAAAACAGTATGTTTTGTGGACGCGAGAATCCAGATGTTTCTCGAAACGTATTTTATTTCAACGTATTTTATTATATTCCAATTGTAAAAAAAAACAAAATTGAATAAGCTTGAATAAACTACAAAATTGAATAAACTACCTTTCCAAACTTGAATCTACCATGGACGTCAATCAAGCCGCAGTATTTATATAAATTGACGGAAATATTATGTAAAATTCGTCTCGTATTATGATACGTCTTATACGCGTACCCGCCGATATTATAGCATGCATGTGCGTACAGACGCACAATCCACCATAGTATACAACAGTTATAATGCTATATCTAGTTAAAATAGAATATATATATATATATCTTAGGACCGTCCAAAAGATTTTTGTGATCTCTCGAACATACTTCAGGATGTAAGATTCCGCACCAAAATTTCGTGCGAGGCAGGCTGCTTATGTTATTCGCTCAATAAATCTTAAATAGAAAACTTCGGTACACCGTTATCGCTTCAATATCTTTGACATTTTGTCGATCGTTATTCTCTAAAGCAGCCTTTACAGTTTAGTAAATACTAACAGACATGGCTGATATTAGTTCAGAATTTCTGATAGTAAATCTTCCCATAGATCAGTAATTTGCGGTCAAGGCAAAGTAGCGATCAGAAAGGGCCAGGAACGTCATAGACCTTTCCGTGCACCGTGTGCACTAATGAGGCCTGAACGGTATGATCGATCAAAAAAATCCAGCCAATGGGAATTCAGGATTGTTTTGAATTAGCCAATCGGATAGCCTGCATTCGAGCCCCTGATCGCTTTAGCGATCAGAACTCCCCACAGATCGCGCCTGTTTAAAAATGCTTTGTCATTTGTATTTGTACTTGTACTGCATCGCAACGCAGTGCGTAAGTGAACAGATTCCACATGTGAGGTTGTCTTGTATATAATTTTGCCTTCTTTGATAAACATTATTAAACACGCAAATTTAGTGAGACGCACACTCGCACATGTTAAATGTCACCTGCATGTCATTGTCATTGCCCTTTAACCCCTGGTCTAAATCATATGATTATTGAAGCGGGGCCGTTTTGACCTAGCACCGTATTTGTAGGCAAATTGTCTATACAATTTTATATACTAGATATCACAGCCATACCTGCCATTTTGATCTTTTCCTCGCGTTAGATAAGTTGATAACTACGCTCGAATTTTGGTTCGGCACGGATAAAATTGGTACCCGTACCACTGTTTTGGTTCTTGGACTACCTATTTAGGTAGTCCAAGAACCAAAAAGTGGTACGGTACCAAAAATTGAGCGTAGTGTAAACGGGGCTTAGTTAAATAGGTAGTCCAGGAACCAAAAAGGTGGTACGGGTACCAATTTTATCCGTGCCGTACCAAAAATTGAGCGTAGTGTAAACGGGGCTTCTGTTCGGCTGTTCCTCTTTCGATACGAAACTTCGAGCGCCGAGTTATCATACGGCACATTCAAGTCTATAAATTATGGATGATTCCAATTCATTACAAATATTTCTTACTCTTATTCTTTAAAATATTGAAGATTTGGGAACAATGCTATACCAAGGCAGCATTCACTGCCCTGTGGGTAAACTAGTTAGTATGATTATAAAATTGTTCATCCTAATCACAGATTGCCCAATCTTACCCTGTATTATTAATTTATTACATTATATCTTTATATAAATAGTATATTAAAAATCATTAGAAAATCCTGTGTTATTAATTTATTACGTTATATCTTTATATAATAGTATAATGAAAAGCACTTACATGTGTTTCCTGAAAGATTTTAACGAGAACCGGCCAAGATTGGCGTTGACAAGAGGTTAACGGCCATAGTTGGGGTTGACATGAGGATTAATCCTCCTGTATCCTGTGTATGTTATGTAATAATCCTGTGTATGTTATTACGTAAATGGCATAAACGGTGTAGGAAGATCTAAGTTATGTAACTGTTTGCAAACGCGTTCTGTATGTTCTATTTGACAGGAAAAATAAACCTATGAAATTTGAAGATTGAAGTCTGACGTCTGAAGTTTGAAGTCTGAAATTTCAAGCAGAAATAAGTACTAGTTAAATATGAGCAGCCGATCTTTATCTGATATACAAACTCGAGCCGAAAACGTGCTTAAAAAACGACCCATCTTATGAGTTCATTGGCGAAGTATATAATTTTAAAAATAAACATTGTCTTAAGGCGGTTTTCCAGTCCTCGCACGAAGCTCCTTGCAGCTCGCTGCGAGTGCTTGCATCTAATTAGAATGAACTGTTTAGCATTATGATTGGATGAAAGTACTTATGCATCACTCGCAGCGAGGAGCTTCGTGCGAGGATTGGAAATCCGCCTTTAAGGCGGTTTTCCAGTCCTCGCACGAAGCTCCTCGCAGCTCGCTGCGAGTGCATGCATGAGCACTTGCCACTTTCATCCAATCACCATGCAAAACAGTTAATTTTAATTAGATGCAAGCACTCGCAGCGAGCTGCGAAGAGCTTCGTGCGAGGACTGGAAATCCGCCTTAAGCCGAGAAAATCAAAGCTGAAGTTTATGTAAATCAGGAAATTCAAATCTTTATCCGATTTTAATACAACATTGATTAAACATTCATTTCTTTTGTATCTTTTCCCCATGAATTATTTCATTAATAATTTTTAAACTCTGTTTATATACCTTGGTTCAGTTCCGTAGTTAATAGAGCTTTATTAGCAAAATAATTTTGCAGCAATTGATAAAATACTCTTCAACAAATTTAAAGTCTGAAGTCCCTATCCGGCTTTCGTAGTTATTTTAGTACAAAAATTTCCTCGTCTGTAACCGGAACGAAACGGGAAGCCATTTTGGTTTTTTTCCGGAGATGAATATTGCAAGGGGGATATCCGGAGCAACCAATCAAATTGCGTGAAAAGTACTATTCACCTCCCGAGTATATGCTAAATTACTTTATTCAATTTGTTTTTGTCTTTGATTTAGTTTTGGAAAAGATCACAGTATGTTCAGCACAATTTTACTCGCTTTGGGAGTTGTGTTGGCTATCTCAGCTTCGGGTAAGAAAATTTACAAATATTCACTGATTGAATCACAATGCTTGATAATGTTCCTTGCCAGAATATGCAGTTATCTGAAAAGATGTGGGAAGCTATATCTTTCAAGTTACATAGGATAATGTAATTGCTTGATAATGTAGCTATTTTAAACACGTCGCAATCCGATTTCCAGAGATTGTGACAGACATTAAAATCTCATCTCTGATTATAAATATTTTGACTTTATAATTGGCTGATTGAATACAAAAGGTACTCTATCCAGTTTTAGTTTCCAGGTCAGTGACCCCTACCGGATTTCTAGTAAAACTGACGGAGACAAGATATGACACCAGTTGAACTGCTGGGATAGCTGGACTGTAAAGGTTTGGCTTGGGAGGAAATTAATTTCCTGCACAAAAATTCTTGCAATTATCGAAATCTGCACAACATTTTTCAAATTGTAAATAACCGCAAATAATTTTTGAAAAATCTACACAAAATGCTTTAATTTGTGAACCAAGCAGATTTCCGATCTTGTTCTTTGACAAAAGCATTTTCTGACGCAGGATTGCCCGGTCTGCCATACATTTTCTGTGAAAATATTAGAGGCGTAGCCAGGGCTGCCCCCCCCCCCTGGCAAAATTTTGCCCCCTGATAAAATGTATTGTATAAAAAAGGGAATTCCTTGATTATATAGCTTCATGTTGAGACCCGTCGGAAAATTGTCAATGTTGTCGGAATCTTCGTGGTGAAGCATCGGAAAAAGTAATACGGAAATCGGGAAAAGTGCTAGGAAAGCAATTCCCCCCCTGACCAAAAATCCTGGCTACGCCTCTTGAAAATATCTGACATTTCTGCGCAACTTTCCCAAGGAAAAACATTTCCTGTGCAAAATAAAACATTTCAGTCTGGCTGCTGGAAGTGTGACAAGACAATTTGCAACTAATGATCTACTGCATATCTTTTTTGTTTTGTTTTAGGAAGTGCTCTGAAATGCAATGTTTGTGCATACTGGACAACACAGCCAAAAGAACAACAAAAATGTCCTAATACCACAGTCAATTGTATAACCGGTACTTCATATTGTTACACAGCATCTGTTGCCGACCAAAATGATTATTTTACAAGAGGCTGTGCCACCAACGCGACTTTGTGCCTCGATCCTGAGAAATTGTGTAACGTTGCAACAACAAAATTGAATCTGAAATCCTGTGCTTTGGAATGTTGTACTACCGATAATTGCAACAATTATACCCTCAGCAGTGCAACTGGTGCCCCCAGCCGTGCAACTGGTGCCCCCAGTAGCGCAACTGGTGCTCCCAGCAGTGCAACTAGTGTCATGGTGAGCAAGTTTACTCTTTCCTTGATGGTGATTGTTGGCTTTATTTGCTTGACTTGATGTACTTTGCGTTCTGACTGTGTAGTTTTACTTAAATTTACTTAATTCAATTGTTGTAATTTGCCTTAAACGAACTTTATTTATACTGGATAGTCTTAATCAGCTTTAATTAAACTGTTCTCCCCAGAGGACAGTGCTACTAAAACTCAACTAAGTTCATTTATACTGGATAGCTCCTTAAACTGTTCTCCCTATAGAAAAACCCTGCACCTCTTTATTTATCCCGTTTTTGCAAGGCTATATATATAAGGCTAATACTTACCATTTGTGTGCCACAAAATTGCAAAATTGTAAAAAGTTATGGAAAATTAACACCAATGAAGACAAATAACTTATTGCATGAAATTCCACCATATTGTAAAAGATAGTGCAACTGATATAAACATAGGCTTTTTTGGTAAACAATGATATATGGTTTTGAAAATCTTCGTGTGTTCTCAAAAGTTTCCGTCTTTTCCACCCTCGAAAACATCGTTGCAGAAATATTCAGTCCTGTTTGCCATCATCGAAAACAAGAAAAAATTCTTCTGCGACATTCTTGTAGTTCTTTAAATATTGAAAATCATCACCCTCTCGTAACTGTAAATACTGTTGAGTGTTATATAATTAGTTATATAGAGTTATTGATATGATGATCATGTACTATTGTCTATGCCAAACTATTAATATTATATGTAAATAGAAGAAAAGTTAATTCATTACCCCAAATGCATGCGTGTCCAAAGGGAGCCTAAATTTAAATAAGCCTGCTGGTTTCATTTTAGGCTTTCTTGTTGCTAATATACAGGGTGTATAAAAAAAAACGCAACCTCGGAATTTCCTAAGAAATCACGGTGCACTTCTTAAGCATAAAAGATTTTAGGCCGCTGGGAATTGAAATCGAATTGCTAATAGATCATATTACTGTTGTTGTGCATTAAATAAATGCATAAATTTTGCTTTATGCACTCGCGTGTGCAGTAATTTTGACAGTTGTGCTATTTTAAATTCCCAGGCGCCTAAAATCTTTTGTCTTTAAAACAATGTCGATTTCTTGGGAAATTCCGAGGTTGCGTTTTTTTTATACACCCTGTATTAATCGTGATTTCAAACACTCATTAATAATTCATAAGCTTACTGGCAAATCATGTCAACCATAATATGTCACGTGCAGTGGCTTTAAGCCTGATAAAACACTCCTAATTAGTATTCTTTATATAAACAATACTAATAAGGTAGTATCTATTGTAGTCGTGTCCTCATTAGTATTTCTTATATAAAGAATACTATTAATAAATAAGGCAGTATATCTATTGAATTTGTAGTCGTGTTTGAAGCCGTTTAATAAACTCGCAGGTCGTGTTTTATTAGGTCTAAAGCCACTCGCGCTGCGCGCTCGTGGCTTTAAACCTAATAAAACACTCGTTTATTAAACAGTACTTCAATGTTTATATATTTATTATTTTTGTGTAGTTAAGTTAAATTAATGTATTTAGCAACTAATCAAATCCATTATTAAACCCATTATTAATTGTTTGCGAAAAAAAGGTTTCATCATTAAAAATTAGTTTTAATAAATATTCTATACAATATACACACATGTGTGCTATTTATAAAAATAGAGCCCCGCAAATGACATAGCGCAATAGCCAATTGCTTTGGAAACAGTTTTGTCTTCTTTTCGTTCACCACTTTCTCTAAGCACTATCGAGCAGCAGATGGCGGTAAGCCTGCTGGTATCAAAGTGAGAAACATGGTCAGAAATCACGAACATAATTTATTCTACTTCCTTCGTAATTTGCATATACCACGTTAAAATATGACTTCAACTGTAATGTAAACAGTGAATTATATAACGCGACGTTGTTAAAGGCAAAATCTGAGAATAAAGTTGGTCGTTTGCAACTTGCCCCATTCGCTGGCAGCAAAACAAAGTCTGCCGAAGTAATTAATGTAATGTTGGCCTGCTTTCAGTTCTGCATTTTCAATATTTGTGAAGAGGTTATAGTTCTTACGACATTTGTTTATTTAACTCTATATATAAGTATACCGCACTACTGCCACTAGGAACAAACGAAAAAATACAGAATATATAGGCAGTAAATTACAGTATAGATCAGGCACATTACACTATAAAATATTTCTACACACTATGTTCTGCAACCAGCAATTGAGCAAACGACCTACCGTCTAATTCTCTGATTTGATGCATTGATGATATATGCAAATTAGTACGGAAGTCGAATAATCCATTATTTTTTTACTCAAGTTTATGAGTTTTTTCCCCTCAAGTTTATAATTTTTTGCAGTGTGCGATTCTTTAGAAAGATCATTCCCATAGTTTGTCTTTTATTATAATTTTCAGCCAATCACAAAACCTGTTCATATACAGGTACGGGGGCAACTCATCGGTTCAACATGAAATACACTGACCTTAACTCGTCAATAATACCGTATTTTCCTGGTCAATGTTCCAACATAAACCCAGAGCGACAACACGTTATTTGGATACGGATGAATGTGAACGGCCAAAGCGAACTCGACATTTGGGTCTTCTGTAAGATGAACTCCAGTACTGTGAACTGTATCTATAACTGGATTGATG